TCAATAGAAATAATAAACTCTATTTAGCAACACTGTGTGTGTGTGTGTCTATGTGTACGTTTGTGTGTATGTGTGTACCAGACAAAGAGAAAGAGAGAGAGAGAGGCACTCATTTGAATGTTTCAGGTTATTTAATGTGTAGCAAATTTCATTGTGTTTTTAAAGCCATTGTTGACATCGCTGTTAGGAGAGTACCCGTAAAAACTGACAGGATTATTTACATGTGAAGCTTAAGACATTTTCTAAGCTTCGACTGTGTGTACAAAGTAAATTACAGTGAAAATTACATCTATCTCTCCACTTCCCAAAACCCATCTCAATATGAGTAAAGAAAGACATTGACGTTTTTTCTATTTTGATTTTTTATATAGTTTTATGTAAAACTAAGCTACCTATGATCCGTTGGGTCACTGACGGTTCAGATTAAAAAACAGTGAAGTTGATTTCAACGTTCCATTTCATTATGATTCAATTAAATATTTTAATTGGTTCGTGTCATCATTGATCTGGTTTACAAGTTTCCTGTTTAACGTTTAACTTATTGTTTATCGCATTTAATAGGAATAGAACCCGGGATTAACTTGAACTTTAAATCAGACTAACTTAAAAATATCTTTTTAATATGCCAAAAAATATTTTTAAATCATATTCACTTGAAAATATTTTTTAAATATGGCAAAAAATATTTTAAAATGTATAAATATTGTTTGTTTAAAGAAAGCTGAAATATAAATAATTACTCTACAAATAACTGGACGGAGCAGCAAAGCGGGATTTCTTTGTGTCTGTCTTTAACTTAAAAATATTTTAATTAAAAAAACATTGTCTTGTTTGAAGATAGTTAAACTAAAAATACTTACTTTATAAAAAACTCGTAAATCATTAATCTCCGAACGGACGCACCACACAAGGAGGAAAACACACACGCAGTCACAGACTTTTAGTATTATATTGGTAATTAGTGTGCTGACTATCTTAGATTGAGCAAAACAATATTCAGTAAATGCGGATATCTACAGAAATTGTCTCTTCTTTACGAAGATTTACCGGATTGAAAAATTCAGCTGGTTGAAGAAACCAATACATTTTTCTTCATTACACTGTGTATCAAAAATTTTGTCTTTGGTCAGTAAGGATTATTTTCCTAATTGCTTCTATCGACAAAGCGAAGAATATGACTATTACTTCTTTCAAACATTGCTTTTATGACCTGAACATTGATGTTTTAAAGCTAAACTAGTTTCCATTACATTCCAGACAGATTCAGTGCTGAGTTGCTGAAGAATTTTCTAGGAATTTCAAGAATTTTTCGAATAGTTTCTAATACTTTCAAGAATTTCTAGAACGTTCTTGAAATATAGATATCGGTATAATTACAGGGAACGTAAGCGCAACAGTTCAGTTTACTTGTAGCTGTCCAAGTGCAGACAAGTCATAGTTGATATATGCATTCGTCACAGGTGGCATCAAGAGGTTTTCAGTATCCTGCAGACGCGTTTTGCTATGACTGTGGCGAATTTATCAAGACAAGAGCGGAAAAGGTACTCTGTGCCAACATCTGCTCAAATGGGTGAGGCCGACAAGGCATATTTCTGGATGCCTGTCGGGCATCAAGAGAAATCCTAGGTACATCATTTCACCTGCGGAATCTGAAAAAAAACTCTATAAGGTAAGATGTAAACTTTTGATATTTTTTTAATTTAAATATTTTTTACTTCTGATTTTTTAAACAAGTGCTATTGAAAACAATGTATTAAATATTTTTCAATAATCGCGTGTTAGTGTCCATAGTATAATCGATGTTTTCTATACGATGATCACAGGAAAGAATAAAAAATATGGAATTATATGGAGGTTCAGTATACTTGATTCCATATTTTGTGTAAATATATATATATATATATATATATATATATATATATATATATATATATATTACTGAATACCACCAAAAATATGTTTCTGTTCGAAACTTATATTGCATTTTCTATTGCATACAATTTAAATATTATTTTAAGAGACCTGCTTTTTCTGGCCGAGAAATTTTCATCACTTCCTTGTCTATGCATATATCAGTCTGTGCGTATCTACACAGTATTCCATGTGATGTAATCACTCACTTGTAAGGCGAAAAATCTTCTAGTCTGTTTCATAAGATTCAATTTTTTTTTTAAAATCCCAGAAATTCTGCATATAAGAATGACTTGATATCACCAATCAGAATAAGATGAGGATTGGAAGACTGTTTTGCGCTTATTAACACTTGGAATCTCAATCCAACCTTGGATTGAAGCATGACATTTTTGTCATCGATTGCTAATTCTATCTTTTAATTCTCTCTCTTTGGTTAAATCATTTCTGCAGAAATCAATTCTTGTTTGGAACAAATAGTCCTTTTCTCCTGCTAGGCATTCTACCCCATACCGCAAAACGTCAAAAAATTGGTAAATAAAAAATTGTTTTCGCTTGTGTGTCTATGTTTATCCATGTGCCAAAAGGCGCGTGAAAAACAGTATTTGTGATTGTATATGTGAGTGTAAACTTTCTTTTAAAAATGCGTACAAAGTGCAGATATACATGGTTCACAGTTTGAGTGCCAGGTGATACGCAAGAGAGAGGGAAAGAGAGAAAGATCGAGAGTGCTTTTGTGTGCTTTGTGTGTGTGTGCTTTGTGTGTGTGTGCTTTGTGTGTGTGTGCTTTGTGTGTGTATGTGTATAAGATGAAAGAATGTGTTCGTGCACGGGTCTATGTGTATATAATAAAAGTTATTGTGTGTGAGTACTTTAGGGCCAGTTTGTACACATGTGTGCACATTTCTCTGAAAAAGAGAATATATGTATTTGTGTACTTTATATATATTTATATATATATATATATATATATATATATATATATATATATATATATATATATATATATATATATATATGGGGGTGGGAATGAGTCTGAATATATAAGAGAGGCAAGTCGATGGTGCATGCGCGTCTTTTAATGTTCTCCCTCGATAATCGAAAATGTGTCGGTAACTAACACGAACTCTTTAAGGAATATAAAAAAAAATATCCACTGTACCTTTTTTTTTTGTCAAATGGATTGTAAAAGTGAAAAAAAAAACGAACGAATTTTCAATTATGTTAAATCGTAATGTATGAAGAGGATTTTCTTTTGAAAAGCTCGTAGAAAATGGTTTTGAAATATTCTTTACAAAGTTAGAGTCGAGCGATGAGAAATCTCCAAGAACGAAACTGCGAATAAATCGATTATTTTTGTTGAAGTTTTATTTACTTTTAGACTTAAAGGTATTCAGGTATTTTGCATGGCCTGGAATTTTTAACAGTAATATAATTTTTTATTAGTGTCACTTTGAAAGACTATAAAGTGTTAGAAATTTTTTTATACATATATATATATATATATATATATATATATATATATATATATATATATATATATATATATAAGGAAAGAGAGAAGCTGCAAACGTTTTTGGTTATAATGTTGATTTGTTTTAGTGTATATATTATATTTTATTCTTCATATTTCTGATACAGGTGTTAACGGGGACACGTATGCATACACGATACACAAAGATGTAATAGTAATGGAGGGTTAAGAAAAGGTCTATCATCAACACATCTATCATCACCACCACTAACATCAACCCTAAGGATTTTATTATCACCTAGCCAGAAATTCACTTTTGCCAAAAGTCCAGAAATGAGATCAAGGCTCACTACAAATACAGAATACGAACAATGAAACATTAACCGAACCTAATGAAAATTTATTCCTTTAAAAACTTATTCATTTTGTTCGCCTGAAGAAGATCACGAGACCGGAAGCCCGTGTAGCATAAATATGAAAAATAAATTATAATACATACACTAAAACAAATCCACATTATAACCAGAAAACGTTTATGATTTCTTTCTTTTCTTTTAACATATATTTTTTTCTCTCTTTGGAACAACTATATCCTTTTCCCTATATATATATATATATATATATATATATATATATATATATAGACATTGGCATAGGTAATTTTAAGACAAATAGAAAATTCGAAAGAAATGTACCTATCTTCCATGTACTTTCTAGTATCACATCACCCTTGCACCATCCTAACAACTCTTCTATAAATATTTTCATGGGAATTGTGTGGATGAGATTTCCTTGTTGATAGATCGATACTTCGACTTCATAGATTAAAGAGCAGAACAAGATTGGCTCTTAGGTCTCATATTTAACTGTTGAAACATCTTCAGCCGGTTATTTACCTGATGCTGAAGTGCAGATTCACTCTGAAATTATATTTACTATATTTTTTCAAAAGAAGTTGATAGGTTCGCCTATAGCCCGGTTCACACTTCTCACAGGTTTTTTGAATAGATTTAGAGGTTTATCTCTTGTTACCTTTTTTAAGATAGGATTTCTGGTTCCTTGTAAAGCCTTCTCATTCTTTTTCACTTACAATAGCCTCATGCCTCTTAGTGGCAATATCGCCTTCCTAGAAGTGAATTGATTAAAAATATTGTAAGTTATTGAGACATTTTGAAGGTTATTGTAATCGTACTAAATCAGACTACATATGCAAAAACATTTACAAAAATGAGTGAATGTTTATAAGTCAATTGAATTACTTATTCCAATTTCTTGCTCGCGGTTTTACTATGAATTATAGAAATGCATCTCTCTATTTTTTTAGACAGATTATATAATTTCTGCCCTAATACTGAAAGTCATTGCCTGTCTGTGTGTCTATCTGTCACACTTCCACTTTTTGATATATATATATATATATATATATATATATATATATATATATATATATATATATATGAAACAGATATTAGATAGGCAGATGAATATATAGACACACAGAGTGAGTGCAAATTCTATTTTTCATATTTATATATATATATATATATATATATATATATATATAGAGAGAGAGAGAGAGAGAAGTAAGAGAGATAGACAGAGATTGAGATAGATATTAACATACTGAAAAAGATAGACATGTATAGACGTAGATAGATAGATAGATAGATAGATAATGAATAGACCGAGATAGATAGATAGATAGATAGATAGATAGATAGATAGATAGATAGATAGATAGATAGATAGATAATGAACAAATTGAGGTGTATAGATCTATCCTTGTGCTGCACTAATCTAATCCTGTTAGATAATCAAATAAGGTAATTGTAAGATAAAAGTGACTTGCCTGTATTTTGTAAGTAAACGTTTTATTTTGAAGACACAGTGTACGAAACCCTTTTTTTCCTTTAAAATTTCGCGTTGTGTGTTGTCCCTTTTCGCTTGAATGTTTTTCAAAGATCGTTCACATTGAAACTATTTCGCTTAATTCAATTCATCTTTGAAGTTTTGCTTTATTTTTTTCTCCTGGAAGTGAAAATTGGAAGGTTTAGCAAAAAAATAAAAATAAAAATAAAAACAAATTGATCGAAACAAAGAAGACATTTTGTTTTGGAAGAGAAAATATTAAATGAAGTTCAAAGTTGAGGTACCAATTAACAAGGTATACATTTTGGCCGTTTTTTTTTTTTTTGTCTTTCTCGTTTTTAGTCCTATAATGACATGACACTTGAGAACGTAAGTGATCAACCCATCCCTCACCCCGATTCCTTTTCTTTATTATCTACAAATTAGCATGACAATAACCATGGAATAATTCCCCGGAGCCGTTTCAAAGATTTTGTTATGAGAATATTTCTTCAACCAAATTTAGATATCTCAGTCTATACTGCAATTTCCATTTAGATGGTGCAGAAGGTGAACAGTCTGGTTCATGCTTTCGCCAATGGTAATAGTTTGAGAGTAAATTAGTCAGCCTAGACCATCTAGATACGACCAGTAGTAATCCATTATACACGTCTACTCATCTATCTCCGGGGTTCTTTTGGTAAATTTTATTAACATTGCAAGAAACTATGTGAAGAACACCAACGAGGAGACTAACATCATTTTAACAATTAGAAAATCACTTCTAACTATTAATAATTCCACCTGGACTAAGTGCCATAATGACTACTTTGATGACCCTATGGGTGCATATGATTCAGCCCAGCTTGATGATTTAGTATGTATTTACATTTTAGATACTCTTAGTCGAATAGTAGATCCCAAATAAATAGGCCTATACAGAGATGATGGACTCATTTTCATCCCTAATAGTAATGGTCCACTTAGCCCCAGGATCCAAAAAAAATCATTAGGGCCTTTAAATTACAAGGATTTAGGATTGAGATTACCTCTAAACTTAAAATAGTTGATTATTTAGATAACGCTTTTAATCTCAATAATAAAACGTTTAAACCATACCATAAAGACAATGAAACCCCCACCTATATTAATGTTAATTTCAACCTCCCCAAAGACATTGTGAAATAGATCCCTACCACCATTAATACTAGGATTAGTCGATTATCATCCAACATAAATATCTTTAATGAAAATAAAAAATTATATAGAAATGCTCTCCAGAAAAACTGGTTTTAAAAATAAAATGTTTTATCTAACTCCTATGAATAGTCTTATAAATTGTCCCTATAAATAGCATCGAGATATCTGAAATGAAACGTAAACATGGAAAAAGAAAAAATATATAGTTCAACCCCGCTTTCTGCAAACTGTCAAATATTAGCATCGGGCAGTATTTTCAAAAGTTAATCAATAAGCACTTCCATAAAAATAACCCTCTAAGATTTTCAATAGGAAAACGATTAAGATTAGCTACCTTCGTACAAAAAACATTTATAAAATTTCTATGGGACCAACAACAAATCTGGTATCGTACCTTCATATACTTGAAGATCAAAAGATAATTGTCCAGTAGAGGGAAAATGCAAAGCTATTCGCGTTATATATCAAGCGACTATTTCCCCCAAAGAAAATATGGAAAATAAAAAAAAAAGTTTACATTGGAATCTCCGCAGGAGAATGGAAACAAAGATTTTATACTCATAAACATTCATTCTCTAACACTAAATTTAAACACCAAACAGTTCTTTTTTAAAAAAAATGGGAATTGAAGGATTAATTTTAAATCCCCAGATAGTTTGGAAAATTATAGGTTCTACAAAATTTCCGAAGAGTTTTAGAGATAGATGTGATTTATGTTTAGAAGAAAAAAAAATAAAATAATAAAATGCAATAATGAAAGCCAACTATTAAATCAGAGCATCGAATTAGTGTTCAAATGTCGGATTAAAAACAATTTGAAATTTCCATAATATAGTTTTAACTTAATTAGCTCCCCCAAATCACCCCGACTCCCATCCTCTCTAACTCTTCAAATGTCGACATAAAAAACCCAGAAACAAATTCTAATTACCATAATGGGATTTTGCCTTATTTAGCTACACTAATTTACTTCCCTCCCCTTCAAAATATTTCATACTATATTGATTATAATTTATTATAATTTATAAAATTTCCTTTACTATATTATCCTTTAAACCCTTACGTCTCTTTATATATATCTATATTTTTTAAATTTATTTTTGGTTTCATTTTTAATTTCGTATTTAATGTTACATTTAAATTAAGAACTTGTGTATTTTTTCTAATTCCGCTAATTTGTCGTCATAAGGTTAATATTTTTTAAAATAAAACTTCTCTTTAAGATATATACTTACCACCTTCATTGACTCATGCCTCGTACCTATCGCCTAACTGAAACATTGAAAAGTGTAAAGTCTATATTAGGTGTTGTCGAAAAGTTTAGGTTTACCCTTTATCTTCCAGTATGAAATCCTCACAGTTAACTGCTACGTCCCCTAATTTTATAGACGTGAACTTCATTTCACGGCGGGATTGAAAAACCAGACGACAGCTTCCGTCGTCTGCCGAAATAGTTTATTTCCTATATGAGGTAAAAAGTATTTGTTTGATTATAATTATATTGATCTCTATAAATAAATTACATCGAGCTCTTTTCAAATTCAAATATTTTTATATTACTAGGTTCCACTACGATTATATACCATCGGATTTTTTGCGTTACTATATATGTATATATTTTTTGCGTCACTTTATATATGTATATATGAAATATATATATATATATATATATATATATATATATATATATATATATATATTTATTTAAAGACATATTTTATGTTTAACGTTGTTATTTTATAGATAAAATATGTCTTTAATAAATAAATTGTCGGACCTTGTCCATTTCTTAATATATATATATATATATATATTGTACAAAAGCTGTCGGTTTGTCAATTCTTTTGTATGGCTCTGAAATTGGGATACATTATAGATGGCACACTAGTCTATTAAATGTTTTCCATAAAGGCTGTTTCCGTATAATCTATGGCCTAACGTTTGATGATCGAGTGTCAAATGCCGACCTTTTTAAGAAATGCAAGATTGGTACCATCGAGACCTTCATAATGCAATCGCAACTACATTGGGCTGGCCATGTGGCGAGGATGAGAGATGATCGCATACCAAAAGTTCTTTTCTACAGTGAACTTCATATTAGTCATAGAAATGTTGGTATACCTTGGCTCAGGTATAAAGAGCAACCTTTCTAGCGTCAACATTGAAGGAATAGAATATCATTCTTGTTGTCATGCAAGAATAATGAACCATTAAGAAGTAAGCATTATTTGACTGCATGAAACACGAAAGAAAAATAAGACTGATAACAGTGTTCCTGCTGCAATTGGATACAATGCATTCTCATCTATTCTTTGTGGTCTTTTGTGCGATTCTCGTGCCGGCATCTAATGTTATGGCCGTCATAGGTATGCAGATAATTAATTTGTGGTAGAGTCTATTATATATATATATATATATATATATATATATATATATATATATAAAGTGTGGATGGTCCTGCACGAAGCCTTCACTACTATAATCAAAACTCATGTGCCGGTGTCGGGCTGTCGGTTTCCTGGAAACTGATCTGCTTGACCCTCATACGTCGAATCTCGACGGGAGAGTCGACTATATATATATATATATATATATATATATATATAGAGAGAGAGAGAGAGAGAGAGAAAGAATTAATTTGGATAAATTTATCACTTAGCTGACTGGTGTTTGTTCAGTCGTGTCTACTACGTATTTTCGTTAGCATATCAGGATAAGATGTTCACACTTTAGGGATCGCTGTCTTTTCTGTTGTCATTTCTCAATGGTACCGTATTTATATGTGATTTGGTGTAATTTGATATCTTTTTATAGGTATGTCTTTTTTCGTTAAATGTTTGCTGTTGTTCTTGCTTAAGTGGTATGGAGTTTTCTTTCTTTTTTTTTGGTGTTTGCTTTGTATTGTGGTGACCCCTCTTTGAACGTATTTTACTTAATTTCTTTTTGTCGGATTGAGTATTTTTACAGTATTGGGTTGATCTACTTTATTGTGTTGACGGGTAATTCCGCTTGAATTTTTATGTCGGGATTAAATGTTTGGCCCTCTGTGTGTGTGTGTGTGTCTGTGTGTGTGTGAGAGAGAGAGAGAGTGAGAGAGAGAGAGAGAAAGAGTATGTGTATACTTTTTATCTAGTTTTTATTTGGGTGCGATTAGGTATATATTTGTGGGTCTCTGTTTATATTCGTATTTAGATAACAAACTTGACGTTTATTTGAGCGTCTGTATTTCTCCATTATTTTGTTTTCCTTGTTTAATAGTTTACTTGTGTTTTAAAAGGTAACTATTTCTAATTTCTCTTTTAGGCGTAGTTTACACTTGATACTGCTATTATGTGAGGCTGTTCTTAATTTCCCATTTGATTTTTATTGTGATTCTCTTTTTGACTCTATATGTATTTTGAGAGTGCAATGTTTTGTTTGTATTTTTTGGTTGTGAATCTTCCTCTGAAGTTGTTTTTGTGGCTCCAATGTATATTTTTTCGTCTGAGATGATGTTAGTTGTTACGGTGGCTCTGTATATTATATTGTTGTTTGGACGTTTATTTTCAAGTGGACAGTTGTCTTTGTTTCGATAGTAGCATCTTTTGGTGTGCTTATGTTGATTTGTGTTGTTAATATTATTCTTCAATTTTTTTTATTGTGTTTGTTTATTATTTTCTTCATGTTGTTCATGGAACTACAACTAATTTTGGCCGTGTTTTGTTTATGATTTTTGATAGCTTGTTTTTGAAGTGAAAGT